CTGTTTATATTGGTCAGCCAGGGCTTTCCTCATTGACCCAGGTTAACAACCACAATCAAGGATCTCAGTCAACAAGAACCACCTGGTTCCAATCACAACAACATCTTTTCTAGTTTCTGTCAGGAATCTGGATGTGGTGCCCTGTCTGCTATAGGTCCTGCCAGATCATCCAGCTGCATCATTGATGCCATAGAAGTCACTGCCCCAGAAAAAAGGGCCTGGAGCAGTGGCTGCATGCTTTCTATATGGGGTCTCAGGGGGCTTTTCAATCAAGTGCAGAGGAGTGTTTTTGTACTTTATATCTGTTACACAGGCTCACATATACACACCAACAGAATTCATTGTGCCTTTTTGAACATGTATCCCCAAGAACCATAGCTAACTCCTTCTTGAAAACATTTAATGCTTTGGCCTCAACCACATTTTGTGGCAGAAAATTTCACAGGCTCACTACTCTCTAGGTGAAGAAATTTCTCCTCATCTGAGGCGTAAATGGCATAACCATATCGTTAGACTGTGAATCCTGGTTCTAGATTCCCCGGTCATCAGGAACATCCTTCCTGCATTATTCCTGTCTAATCTTGTTAGAATTTTACAGGATTCTATGAGATCCCACCTCATTATTCTGATGAATGTAGTCCTAACTGATCCACTGTTTCTTCATATGTCAGTTTTACTATCTGGGGAATCAATCTGGTAAATCTTTGTTGCACTCACTCCAGAAACAAAACTTTCTTCTTCAGGTAAGAAGATGAAAATTACAAACAATTCTACCAGATGTGGTCTCACCACGGTCCTGTACAATTGCAGCAAGACATCTATGGCCTTGTCGTTGAATCCTCTTGCTATAAAGACCAACATACCATTTGCTGCACCTGCATGCTTACTTTTCACAACTGGTATACAAGGTTTCATTGCACTTCCCCTATTCCCAACCTATTGCCATTCATATAATGACCTGCCTTTCTGTTCTTGCGAGCAAAATGGATACTTCATCTGCCGTGCATTTGCCCACTTACTTTAAACCAATACATACCTGAACTTTATTTACCACACACTAGCGCAGAAACAGAGAATGTTTCTTCTTGTCTACAACAATGATAAAGCTCATTAATGATACAGGATGAAAACCGTGCAAGTCAGTCCTGCAGGGTCTTACTGGCACTGGAAATTTTTATAAGGGTAAACATCATACACTACCTCAAAAGGTGTCATAATTTATTGTGGCAAATCAGTTTAAAAATGAAATGCAACATGAATTCCTGTAGTTTTTTTCTTAATTCTTTCATGATATGCAGACATTGCTGACAAGGTTAACACTTGTTGTCCATTCCTAGTTATCCTTTGCATTGAGTTTCTTGCTCAGGCAATTTCAGAAGGCAGTTAAGAATCAGCTACATTGCTGTAAGTATTGAGTGACATGTAAATCACGCCAGAAAAGGTCAGCAAATTTCCTTCCTTAAATTAGCAAATCACGTGGGATTTCACAACAAGTGATGATAAATAATATTGTGATTTTACATTAGTTAATATTTCTAAGCATAAGTTTCAATTCTACATCTTTATTAATTGAAGTTAAATTTCATCAACAGCTGTAGTGGGATTTGAAGCCACATCCCCAGCGTTAGGCTGGACCTCTGGATTGTCAGACTAGTGACATTACTACTTCTCCACAATCTTGCCACTCTTGGTTGCTGAGAGATTGTCCCATCAGTACAGATCCCAATTTCCCCAGTACTAGTGCCACTGCCCACAAACCAGAACCATTCAATGGAGAGTGCAGGAGGGTATGCCAGGAGCAGCAACAGGCATACCTGAAGATAAGGTGTCAACCTGGTGAAGCCACCAAACAGGATTACTTGCAACCAAACAGCATAAGCAGCATGCCAAGACAGAGCTAAGCGATCCCACAACCAACAGATCGGATCTAAGCTCCGCAGTCCTGCCACATCCAGTTGTGAATGGTGGGGGACAATTAAACAACTCACTGGAGGAGGAGGCTCCACAAATGTCCCCATCCTCAATGATGGAAGAGCCCAGCACATCAGTGCAAAAGATAAGGCCGAAGCATTTGCAGCAATCTTCAGCCAGAAGTGCCGAGTGGATGATCTGTATTGGCCTCCTCCAGTGGTCCCCAGCATTACAGATACCAGTCTTCAGCCAATTCAATTCACTCCACCTAATATCAAGAAATTGTTGGAGACACTGGATACTGCAAAGATTACAGGCCCTGACAACATTCCGGCAATAGTACTGAAGACTTGTGCTCCAGAACTTACTGCTCCCCTGGCCAAGCTGTTCCAGTACAGTTACAACACTGGTATCTACCCAGCAATGTGGAAAATTGCCCAAGTATGTACTGTACACAAAAGTAGCACAAATCCAACCTGACCAATTACCACCCCATCAGTCTACTCTCAATCACCAATAAAGTGATGGAAGTTGTCATCAACAGTGCTATCAAGCTGCACCTGCTCAGCAATAGAGATAGTAAGAACTGCAGATGCTGGAGTCAGAGACAACACAGTGTGGAACTGGAAGAACACAGCAAGCCAGGCAGCATCAGAGTAGAAGGAAAGTTGGCATTTCAGGTCAGGACCCTTCTTCAGAAATGGGGAGGGGGAAGGGAGCTGGGAAATAAATAGAGGGGAGGGGTAAGGCTGGGGAAGGTAAGTGGGATGGTGATAGGTGAGTGCAGATAGGGAGTGGTGGGGATTGGTCAGTGAGGTGGGAGGGGCGGATAAACGGGAGAGAAGGTGGACAGGTTGTGTCAGGTCAAGGAGGCGGAAATGAGAGGGAGGGTCGGTCATGGGATGAGGCCGGGGTGGGGAGATTTTGAAACTGGTAAAATCCACATTTAGGCCATTGGCTGTAGGCTCCTGAGCGGAATACAAGGTGCTGCTCCTTCCACAAATCTTCTGCGTTAGACAGGAGTTCACCTGCACATCCGTCAATGTGATCTACTGCATCCACTGCTCCCGATGTTGTCTCCTCTACATCGGGGAGATCAAGTGGAGGCTCAGAGACCGCTTTCTCGAGCATCTGCACTCTGTTCGCGACAAACGACAACACCTTCTGGTCACAAGCCACTTCAACTCCCACTCCCACTCCCTGGGCGACATGTCCATCATGGGCCTCCTCCAGTGTCACTATGATGCCACCACAAACTGGAGGAGCAGCACCTCAGGATCCTACAGCCCAATAGCCTAAATGTGGATTTTACCAGTTTCAAAATCTCCCCACCCCCACCCCCAGCCTCATCCCATGACTGACCCTCCCTCTCATTTCCGCCTCCTTGACCTGATACAACCTGTCCGTCTTCTCCCCCACCTATCCACTACTCCCACTTCACCGACCAATCCCTACCACTCCCTACCTGCATTCACCTATCACCTACCTTCTCCAGCCCCATCCCTCCTCTTTCTATTTATTTATGAGCTCCCTTCCCCCTCCCCGTTTCTGAAGGAGGATCCCGACCCGAAACATCAACTTTCTTGCTCCTCTGATGCTGCCTGGCCTGCTGTGTTCCTCCAGCTCCACACTGTGTTATCTCTGACTCCTGTATCTGCAGTTCTTACTATCTCTACCCAAGGCAGACGTGGATGCTCAATTATTGAACAGCTTCAAGATGGATATTGCTACATTTCTATTATAAATGATATGGGTACAATGTCAGAAAGGGGCTTTGTGATAAATAATCAACCGTGATCTCATTAAACAGCTGAGTCAGCTTGACAGGTTGAAAGCCACTTTTCCTATGTTCCTAAGGAAAGAGTACATATTAAACCTGTTTCTAAAACAACGCAAACCTCAGAAATGATATAACCACAATGAAGGAAATTTTATGCTACATTTCCTACCTACTATTTGGCTAGATTTAATTGTGGATTTTATTTGCATAGAAGATCAGAAGTAAGAAAGGAACATGTGCCCACATTATTATATTACAATTCATGCTAAGACACGTTTAAAGAAATTTTAATTGTTCAATTTTATTGGAAGAGATATATTTTGCAAGAAGAAAAGCCGTTTACATCTATACTTAGATTGTGAGGTTCCATCATATGCAATTCCAAATTACTATTTTCCCTGGTTTGCACACTGTTGAGTCACTACAATCCTGTTGGAAACAGTTGCCTTGGAACAATTAAGGTGCAGGATTACTTTCTGAGCAACTTTTTTTATGAACAAGCATTGGTACCATACTGAAGGGAGCTAGTTGATTCTGTCACTGTTTGAAAGTGGCCCGAGGGTAAATTTGAGGATAAATTCACAGGAATGAGCATTGATGGGATGTTATGGCTTTCTCTCAGTACATTATCAAAGGGCATTGGTCCCCAAACCCTGTCTCCTGCTGCAGTTGTCCTGTCTCAATTTTCCATGTACTTGTACTGTTCTTGTCTTTCAAATCATCTTCATGCAGCTTTATTGCCAATATACTGTAACTGTTGTTTTGGTCTCCAAAAGGAACTTAATACATTTTGGCAAACTGAGAAAATAAAACATATCAAGTGATATGAGTTATCAAAAATAGCACCATCTATAAATGATTCTCCATAATTTAAGCTCTTTTTTTGCTTTATCATTCTCTGCCTGATTCTCTCATATTCCCTCTTGAATTTATACTTGCAATCTGCATCACCAGCATTTCTTCTCATTCACTCGCCACAACTGCATTTTGCTTCATATTCACTTTTGTCTCCTGGTCTGTGTTTCATTTATTCTCAAACAATTTTGCCATTTCACATTTATTTTGTTGAACACAATATCCTTTTTAAAAAGATTTGTGAGAACATTGTTGTGTTGGAGCATGAAAGTCTTGCCATTTCAAGCAATATTAAACATTACTATGTCAGCTACAGATAATCTATATAACAAACTAGAAACCCATTCAGACAGGGAGACCTTACTTATTTAGAGCCCGAGTCAAGAGTGAGTACGCCTGTGCAGTGGGGGCGGTGCATGCTGGTCTTTGTAGTTCAGTCCGTGATTACGCCACCATCACCCACAGTAGCTTGCGTCCTCACTTCCGGCTGACGGTCAGGAGAAGGTCAGGAAGAAGGTTTGAGTCGTTGGTAAAGGGGAGACATGTTGTGGGCACGTACGGTTCGCAACTTCAGCACCTCGCTGATCCGCAGGTCACACTATGAGGAGGGCCCGGGAAAGGTACGTGGTGGGCGGAGATTAAAGCGACTCCGGGGTTTCGTTATCTGCGGCCGGGAGGCCTGTGCTGCAACCTGTCTCTGGGAGGGTGGGGAGTGCCGCGCTTGTGTTGGAGCCGCAGGTTACCATGGCCTAGGCCTGGCGTGCCCCTATCCTTTCCCGTCGGCCGCCAGTTGTAGTGGGTTGAGCGTTATTGGGGGAAGGTTGATTTAACGAAAACGCCCCGCTGTTTCGTGTCTCGGAGCTATAGCTGCGGTAGAGAACCGCCACCATCTCCCCTGGTGCGGAAGAGGCCTCACTGTCACCGGGTCGGCTCTTTTTCTGTGACGGCGAGTCCAGGTTTCGGTATCACTTCCTTCCGTGTCCGAAACCGTTTCCCTCCGCTAACTGGCTGGCATCGAATCCATGCAATGCTGTGCCTCCCTGATTGCCCTTGTTTCACCTTGTTCCTTTACTTTTTCGGTGCCCCAGGGTCCTTTCGGATGTAGCAACGATTTGACTCACTTACAACGTAGTCTACACTTCTTGGCACACTACACGGGGGAGACCAAACGCAGATTAGGCAACTGCTTCTCAGAACACTTGTGCCCAGTCGATGAGCACGATCCTGACCTTTTGGTCGTATGCAATATGCTACCTTCGTCCTGTGCCTCAATGTTGCCATAGGCCTGCCACAGTCTGGAGGGACAGCACCTCGTTTTTCATGTAGGCACTTTACGGCCTTCTGCACTCAACTTTTGAGTTCCACAACTTCAGGCCATGAAGTCTGTCCTCCATTTTGATATTTTGCCCAATGTCTGTATCTTCCTGTTTTTTGCTTCAAATTTGAAGTCAAGTTGAACCTGATGTTAATTCTTTCTTTCTCTACAAATGCTGCTAAACCTGCTGAATTTCTCTGAACAGTGTTTTTTTGTTATTCAAAAGCAGAAATTGCTGGAGGAACTCGGGTTTGGCAGTGTCTGTGGGAAGAAAGCAGTGTTGAAATGTTTCAAGTACAGTGACTCTTCATCAGAATTTTTTTGGTTTCAGATCTCCAGCATCCACAGTTCTTTGTTTTATTTGTGAGCTTATTGTTATTTACTTCCCCACTTGCCATTGAACCTTTTTGTCTTTGAGTTGATTATATTTTCCTTATTTTTTCGTTTAACTTTCACCCTTGTGATTGGTGACCTGTACCAACCTCAGTTTCATGTCCTTGGCATTCTGAAGAGCTATATGGAACTTGGGAGCAGGACTGCACATTTGGCACTTGAGTCTACACCACCATTCGGTGACATCAAAATAGTTATGTCTGAGCTGCACTTTTGCTGCTTGTACTCCATAACCCTTTACTCGCTTGCCTATCAAAAATCTCTCACTCAAGCTTGAATAAATTTAAATTCCTAACTGCCACAACCTTCTGGGAGAAAAATTCCATTACTCTTAATGATTTTCAGTGAAGAAATTTCATGTCATCTGCCTTAAAAGGGAGATGCTTATTCTTAAAACCGTGTCCCTGAGTTTTAGTCTCATCCCCAATAGGTAAGATCTATCTGGATCCATAGGGGTGGCACAGTGGTTAGCACTGCTGCCTCACAGCACCAGGGACCCGGGTTCATTTCCGGGTGCTCCGGTTTCCTCCCAAAGTCCAAAGGTGTGCAAGTTAGGTGGATTGGCCATGCTAAATAGCCCATAGTGTTCAGGGAGGTGTAGATTAGGTGGGTTATAGGGGGATGGGTCTGGGTGGGGTGCTCTGAGGTTCGATGTGGACTTGTTGGTTCGAAGGGCCTGTTTCCACACTGTAGGGATTCTATGATTCTATGGTTTCCACTTTATCCGCTCTTTTCAAATCTAATTTCTATTAGTTTACCTTTAATTCTTCTAAACTCCAATGAACGTAGGTCTAACCATATCAACCATTTTTGATAACAAGCCCACAATTGATCAGTACTTCTATGGAATCACTTTTGGAATGTGGAAAACTGCTAATTTGCTTATGGCCAGGATAGTTTTAGTTTTCAGCAGCTGCCCTTTAAATCAGGTTATTATTTTCTTATCAGTCTACAAATTTGCATCTTCGTGACTGCACAAGTTTTTTTAACGGGCTGTAAAGTGCTTGGTCATCTGATGAGAGGATTAAAAACTGCTATAATTTTTTTCTAAAATTTCAAAATCATACATTTTGCTGTTTCTCTTCTTGTGGTCACCTTGCAGGTGGGTATGCCTTTCCTTTCAATTATTTTAAATGACTGAAGGCTAACTTCTGGCTCATTTTTGAGCAAAATGTTTGGCTTGATTGCTCTGATATTTTTCTAAATCAAGAAGTACTGAATTGAACAGTAAACTGATATTCTAACTCATCCAAGATATGTAAAGGATTAAACTAATAACCATGAAATAATTTATAACCACAAACAAAATGAAAATTCATCTCTAGCTGGTTTGAATTATTAGTGGCCCTAATGTCATTGGCATTATTAAAACTGCAAAGGTAATAGCAACTTTGATTATCTGCAGTTAAACATCAGAATTTGGTAGTTGCTGCCAAACCCCGTGCACTTCTGGAAAGTGTTCTTGAAAGCACTAAGCCGAAGAACGTCCTCTTTTTTATGCTGTCGATATCACTGTTAGATAACCACACTCAAAGATAACTGTTCAGCTTGTAATATGTATGTCAATTCTTATTTTGTTCCATGTAAAATAATCAGTGAATTTTATTTCCTAGTCTTTTTAGTGTGATTTTCTGCATATTCAGCTTAAGGACACTGGTTAGACACTTGTTGCCTGATTTTTAAGTTATCGGGAAAGGAGCATTCCATACTGCGGAGATCTTTGAAGTCTGTGAGAGCGTTACCACTGACTATAATAGTCAAACATTATTTTGTCATGTCATGCAAGTGTTTTCATGTTATTTATAAAGGGAATCTTGACCTTTCTTCTACTTGAAAGTAATGTGTTTCTTTCGTAAAAGCGATGATGTGCTGTCAATAGTAGCAGACAACATTGTGTCAACTTTGTATTGAATGCTGTGACTACTTGGCTTTCTAGCAGTGTCTGGTACAAATGATGTGAACTCTTTAAATGAATGATATCATGACACTGTAAACGCTTGCTGATGTACCAACACTGAATTTATTATTTATAATTACTTTATTTGACTTGGAATAATTGGCCGCCTTTTATTTTAATAGAACTTGCCATTTTCTGTGGAGAACAAGTGGAGGCTGTTGGCAATGATGACCGTATTCTTTGGCAGTGGCTTTGCTGCTCCATTTGTTTTAGTCTGGCACCAAATGCTGAAGAAATGAGACCACATTATTCAGTACGTAACAGTCTAAAATTTTCCTGTTGAGACTTCTGAATTTATTCAATTTTGTATCTGGTGCATATGATGTGAATTTACTAATTTATGAGTAACACTGTGACACTGTAAACGCTTTCTGATGCACCAGATTCAATAAATTGTTTGCCCTTTTGATGTGGTTACCACTGTAAATATTTGGTCAATGGGTCATTAGTAGATACTGATCAACCATGTGTATATTTGGACCTTTGAATACAATTTTGTGATGAAGATCGGTGATTACTTTATAGTTACTCCAATGCAATTCCAGTTAAAACACTGACAAAGTTTCTAGCAAGTATTCGGTTTGGCACATATAATTCTTAGTAGGACAGAAAGCACTTGACCAGATAATTCTGCATTAGAATTGTTGCATCACCTCATTTCATTTCTAAATGTAGAGTTATTTTTCTGAGCAATGTTAAATGTGAGTCACCATTTCAAAGATCTGGTGGATTTGTGTAAGCCACAATTATTTCTGTGCTAAATAATTTACATTTAATACAGGATCATTAACTTGGATTCAAGTGTCTTTTGGCAGCATAAACTGGAGTTATTACATTCTGGGTTTAGGGACAAAGTTAGAATGGTAATAAGAGCACAAAAATCTGCAAGACTTAATGCTTTTACAGACCTCCAATGTAATTACATCTTTCCAGGACAAAACTAGTCTTGTTGATTAGATCACAACGTTGTTTAGTTTACTGTTAGTTTGATGGACCATCTGTGTGTGCTCTGTGTCATATTACCACCTCAGTAGACATATTGCAAAATGCATTGTCGGACTTTTTTTGTTCTGTATCTGCTCGAAGAGAGTCAATTAGGAATTGAAGTATTTTGCTCCCCTCCCTCTTTCAAGGCTTGACATTGGTGATAAAAGGTCACAGATCAAAAATAGCAGCTCTGTTCCCTTCTCTCCAAATTTTGCAAGATCTGACCTTTCCTAAGATTTTCTGTTTTTAGTTTAAATGTTTTGGTTAAGTTTTTTTTTGATTGATAGACCTGTATGCTACTTCTAAACTCTTTTTTTTTTTTTCCTTTTCCAGATAGAACTCCATCTCAACTGTAGTGCGATGTCTGCTGAGCAGCTTATATCCTCATGAGTCTGTTAACCTTCCCAGTGAGATGTTCTTGTAAATAAAAATATTAAGAAATTAAATATTTCCCTTGATTTGTGCTTTATCTTAATATCTACTTTGATATTTGCTGAGTTAGGAGTCTCAAATACTTGAACTTAAATCTTGGGTGTTAGCTTTAAGATGAGCCTTTTGTGTAGTTTTCTTTGCAAATCAACGGGATGAATCAGCAGCGTGATACTAATATTAGTCGCTGTTCTGCATAGTTCCATTTATCCATCTTTGCCCCATATCTATCAATACCCTGCCTAAGTGAAAGTGGGAGTAATCTGTTCACAACAGTACCACTACAGCACTCGTCAGGTTTGCTGTTCTAAGTCCATCACGTATAGTTCAAGTATCGTGATAAGTCCTCCTTGCTGACATTTGGTGACTTCTGTCAATGGGGAGAGATGACCAAACAACAACCTGACAGTCATACCAACATCCTAAATGTCTAATGCCCCAGACTCCCCTATCATCATCCTTGCCAATGGAACAGGACATCTGCAACTACAAGTGATGAAACTAGTAGTCTGGAGAGATCGACCTTGACACTCTAAGATTGACTCTGACTCTGGATCATAGGATATCTTGGCGTCAGGTCAAATATGAGCAAGGAAATCTGTTTACCAGCTACCATTGTCCCTCAACTGATTAATCAGTACTCCTCGATGTTGAATACTACTTGGAAGAGGCACCAAGAGTAGCAATTGACAGTCAAAGAATATCTACAGGGTGGGGGATTTCAATGTGCATCATGTCACCAATCTGTCTGTCACAAGTGAGCAACAGTCAGAGGGACTACCACCCCGAACGTGTGGAGACAGTTATGTCCTCAACCCTTTTGAGTAGTATGGCATTACTACCATGTTCAAATGGGATAAATTCAAAACGGATCTAGCAATTCAAATGTAGAGTCAATTAGGCACTGTAGCCTATTAGCTGCAGCAGAATTATATTTTCTTACAATCTTTGGCATGTGTAATCTCTCTCTACCATTATCAAGCGAAAGGATCAACCTGAGAACAATAAAGGCAGCATGACATGAAAGAACAAAAGTACCTAAAATGAGGTGGCAATGTGTGAAGCTACCGGCCAGCAAGTGAACAGTGGAAAATGCCCAATACATCCTAGTGTGAATGATAATCGAATTAATGGGAGGAGGCTACCTGTGCCCACTCATCTTCATTGTTACTGTAGCCCAGCACATCTTGCAAAAAGGCCATGCTGAAACAGTGGTGACAATCTTTTAACCATAATTGCTGAGTGGATAATTCATTTCAGTCTTCTGAGGTTCCTAGCAGCACATGCAAGTCTTTATTCAATTCAATAACTCCAAGTAATATTAAAAGCTAGGTGAACATACGGTGTTAATAGCAAAGCCTATATATGGACATAGGCAATATCAATTCCCCATCGATACTGTGACCAAAGACGCAGGTTAGAGGTTGTGATTTCTGCATTTTAAAGGCCAACTGTTATTTACATGCCTCTGCATCTCATTAAAGCCCTAACTTATGTCACTCCGATTCTCTTGTTCACCATAAAATTAGCCAGCACAAATTCCTGAAATAAAGAAGATTGGGTGCTTGGTGACTGTAGCTTGCTGAATCCTTCCAGCATTAATGCACCTGTTTCTCCACAACAAAGCCTGTGTGCTCCATTGCCTTCTCCTTGTCTTTGACACCCCTCATCTAAGCAAGTCAGTTTTGGGAATCCACCAGCCTTGCCACGTCATCATGCCTGCTGTCCGACATACTCTCACGCTACTTCAGTCCTTCAATAGTTTGGAGGTCAGGGACATCTGGATCTTGCATGCTTCTGCCAGTTCACTTTATGAGAAGGGACAGGGATTTGTGATAAGTGAACCAAACACCTTATGTCTCTTACCAGTCAGTGGGAGCATCTGGATAAAGACAACTGAAGTAATGTACTGGTGAGTAGAAAAGTCATAAGGATCAGTTCAACAATAGAGCTTAGGAGCAAAGATCACTGAATTGTCTTTCCAGTTTTTCCCCTCTTGTTTGTTTGCCTGTTTGTGTGCATTAAAGGGGAGGTTTATAAGGGGATTAGAGTTTTAATTAATAGTCTTAAATGCATATGGCTTAAAATTGTTTACCTATACCAAAGGTCTAATTATTTGTAACAGATAGTGATTCCGTTTCCGTATAGAAACCTGATCTGTGCTTTCTATCAGCCTGGGTTGAAAGTCAAGTAAATAGGGAATCTTTGCAAACTTTATAAAATCTTGAAGTTTTGTAATTTCCAATATGCTATGCCAGTTAGTCATAACAATTTCTTCAACTACCTGAAAGCCAGTGCAGATACCAATTAAAGATGTCCTGGAATTACATCAGAGAATGTGTCATCTCATTTGGAGCAGGACTTGTGCTCAGTGGGAGTGGGTGACAATCCTGTCTCGATGGCCATCAGGTGCCCTGAATGTTTATTCCAACAGCTCACTTCAGGGAGCAACTAGCGACCTAGAGTCATAGTCATACAGCACAGAAGTAGACTCTTTAGTCCAACTAGTCCATGCCAAACATAATCCCAAACAAAACTAGTCCCACCTGCCTGGTCCTGACCCATATCCCTCCAAACCTTTCCTATTCATGTATTTATCCAAATGTCTTTTAAACATTGCAATTGTACCCACATGCACCACTTCCTCAGGAAGTTCATTCCACACGTAAATCGCTCTCTGTTTTAAAAAAAAAGCCTATGTCTTTTTTAAATATCTCTCTTCTAACCTTAAAAATGTGCATCTTTGTCTGAAATCCCCCCCTAAGGAAAATACAACTACCATTGACTCTATCCATATCTCTCACTATTTTATAAACTTCTATCAGGTCACCTCTCAACACCCTACGCTCCAGTGAAAAAAGTATCAGCCTATCCAGCCTTTCTTTATAACTCGAACCTTTCATATCCAGTAACATCCAGGTAAATCTCCTCTGAACTCTCCCCAGCTTGATAACATCCTTTCTATAACTGGGTGACCAGAACTGGACACGTATTCCAGTTCAGGCCTCACCAATGTTCTGTACAACCTCCACAATGTGTCCCAACTCCTATATTTGAAGGACTGAACAATGAAGGCAAGCGTGCCAAACGCCTTTTTAACCACCCTGTCTATATGTGAGCAAACTTCAAAGAATTATCTACCTGCACCCCTAGGTCCCTCTGTTCTATGACCTACCCAAGGCCCTGCCATTAATTGCATAAGCCCTACCCTTGTTTGTTGTACCAAACTACAATACCTCACATTTATCTAGATTCAACTCCATCTGCCATTTTTCAGCCCATTGACCCATTTGATCAAGATCTCTTTGTAATCTTAGAAGATCTTCAATTTTGGTTTCAATTTACTAACCATGCTTTCTATATTTTCACCCAAAGCATTTATACAAATGGCAAACAAAAGAGGACCCAGAACTGATCCCTGTGGAACACCGCTGGTCACAGGTCTCCAGTCTGAAATGCAATCCTTCACCAACACTGTCTGTCTCCTGCCATTTAGCCAATTATGTATCCAATTGGCAAGCTCGCCCTGAATCCCATGTGACCTAACTTTACTAATTAGTCTACTATGTGGAACCTTGTCAAAGACTTTACTAAAATCCAAATAAACAATGACTACTGCTCTGCCATCCTCAATCTTTGTGGTAAATTCCTCAAAAACACTATTTTCCTTGCACAAAACCATGCTGATTATCCCTAATCAATTTTTGCCTCTCTAACTGTCCAGACCTGTGAAACATCCTTCAATCTTTGAATCATAAACACATCCAGGATACTACCAATGCCATTTTATTCCATATCACAGCTGTTCATATCCTTCCCCTTGCTGGCTTTGCCCAGGTGTAGAGCACCCATGTCACTTTGAGAACACGCTATCACCAATCTGCAAGGTTTGACAGCAGGAAATGCCACTCCATCAGCGTTCAAATTTTATATGACCATCAATGGCAAATTTTGGAGGTCTGCTCAAATATCTTGGGAGTTACCATGACATTTACAGATCAGAGAACTCACTTCCTTCTCTGGTCAGCAGACCATACAGGAATAGCTGTTGGGAGATAAAGGATACCCCCTCTCAACGTGGCTTGACACTTTACTAAACCTTCAGATGGCCACAGAGAGAGACTCAACGCTGCTTCCTCCAGAGCCAAAGTCAAATAGACCAGAAGCCTAGTTAAGATAAGGTTTTGATGTCTGAAACACCCTAGTGGTGCCTTGCAGTATAACCACTAATCATCAACTGTTCCAATATAGGCAGCATTCCATAAACACAATTCAGCAATGCAGTTATGGTTCTCACATTCTCTCTTGCTCCCTCTCTCTCCCTCTCTCTCATTCTCTCTCTCTCTCCCTCTCTCTCCTCTCTCTCTCTCTCTCTCTCACACACACACTCTCTCTAGTCAGAAGAAGGAAACAATTTGCCCCTTTTGATTTTTAAGAGGAAGCCTCGCAGTCTAAGACCTCACTTTTGCAGCCTAGAACTCAAGCTTTAGCTGAGCAGTCAGCAGAAACCTTCTCACTAACTGAAAGAAAAACTAAAAGCCTTCCTGGGTCTGCGTAAGCCTTGACCCGACCATTCATGATTTTTAAAAAAATACCCAAAGATAACTCAAAAGCTGTTTACCAATTGCCTGCCTAAAGGAGACACTCTGGTACTGCTGTGGCAACACCCTCTGCGAGAGAAACAGTACAGAACACTTCTTTCTTAAAGGCACAACATATTGGTCCCATTTGTTTTCCTAATACTTTTTCTTTAGTGATAGTTAAAGCTTCCAGTACGAATTAGCTGAGTTTGGAGTTTGTTTAATTGTTTAACATTCTTTTGGTAGCATAGAAAAGGTATGTGATCCTTTTCATTTTGTAATCCCTCAAAATTTTGAGTTACTGAATAAGTATCATATTATCCATCTGACTATACACTTCATTTCTTTGGGTGATTTCACTTTCAGTATCTAGATATTATATATGCTCCTGATTGTTAAGTATAGAAGAGTAATCAGTGAGACAGTATGCTCACATT